ACAAATGTCCAATAAGGGGGGACTGAGTAAATTCTAGCACAGTGTGACCCATGGACTCTGGGGTTTCCAAGACCCTGTTGGGGGATACTGTGACCTATTTGCCTTTTGCACTGTGATACCACTGCCCTGGTGGTGCAAACACTGGGTGGGGACACCGCGGCAGCTCCGTGTGGACCAGGCTGACCCAGCAATACTGTTCGCCTGTTCTCCAGCACCCCCAGGGAAAGGGAAAGGCATCTTACCTTAGAATGTCATTGATGAAACTGTCAGACTCACTGATTTTATTAAATCCTAAGCCCTTTGCTGTATATGGAAATTGGATGGGTATCTCAAGAGTTGTTTGAGCTGCAGGCCAAACCAACCACTGTGACCGCGGAACCTATTTTTACTTGAAAGAAAGATTGGCAAACTCTGGTTATTCAGACTTCAGCATTTGGCAGACATTTTCTTATTTTTTCCCCCGTATATTTACTTTTTTTTTTTTGTCTTTTTCGTGACCGGTAAGGGGATCGCAACCCTTGGTGCGGTGTCGCCCGCACCGCGCACAGCCAGTGAGCACACCGGCCATTCCTATATAGGATCCAAACCCGCGGCGGGAGCGTCGCCACGCTCCTAGCGCCACACTCTCCCGAGTGTGCCACAGGGTCGGCCCCATATATTTACTTTTTATTGAATTTGTTACTGTTACAGAGTTCTTGCACTACCAAACCACACCTGAGAATTCAAGGAAACGGTACCCTGGACAGCCTCATCCACCCATCATACAGTATACTAAAACTTGATTCATGTGTATTTTGATAATTTCACAATCTTTTAAAAAGTTATAACAAGAGTTGGAGTTTAAATCTGCTGCAGGTCTTCAGATTTCTAGCACAGTATGCCATTAAGTAACACTTCAATGCGTTCATCTTAGTTCATTCCTCAATAACATAACCCCCTATATAAGGTCTTGCTGAAAAAAAAAATGCATAGACTTACCGGTCATCTTTAAAAAAAAAAAAAAACACACACACACATTTGAAAGTGGGTTTTTTTTTTTCTTTTTTTTTTTTTTTAAAGGATGACCGGTAAGGGGATCTCAACCCTTGGCCTGGTGTTGTCAGCACCACGCTCAGCCAGTGAGCAAACCAGCCATCCCTATATAGGATCCGAACCCATGGCCTTGGTGTTATCAGCACCGCACTCTCCCGAGTGAGCCACGGGCCGGCCTGTTTTTGTTTTTTAAAGATGACCGGTAAGGGGATCTCAACCCTTGGCCTGGTGTTGTCAGCACCACGCTCAGCCAGTGAGCAAACCAGCCATCCCTATATAGGATCCGAACCCATGGCCTTGGTGTTATCAGCACCGCACTCTCCCGAGTGAGCCACGGGCCGGCCTGTTTTTGTTTTTTAAAGATGACCGGTAAGGGGATCTCAACCCTTGGCCTGGTGTTGTCAGCACCACGCTCAGCCAGTGAGCAAACCAGCCATCCCTATATAGGATCCGAACCCATGGCCTTGGTGTTATCAGCACCGCACTCTCCCGAGTGAGCCACGGGCCGGCCTGTTTTTGTTTTTTAAAGATGACCGGTAAGGGGATCTCAACCCTTGGCCTGGTGTTGTCAGCACCACGCTCAGCCAGTGAGCAAACCAGCCATCCCTATATAGGATCCGAACCCATGGCCTTGGTGTTATCAGCACCGCACTCTCCCGAGTGAGCCACGGGCCGGCCTGTTTTTGTTTTTTAAAGATGACTGGTAAGGGGATCTTAACCCTTGACTTGGTGTTATCAGCACCACGC